ATACCTCACAAGCGTAGCCTGTTATCCAATTGGAAGGGCCTCTTCTAGGGTTTCTGCACTGTAATATACATGTTTCTTGGTTCATTTCAAATTGGTGTAAATGTAATGGTGTGCTGGAGGAAATGTCCAGTACCTTTCAGAGAAAACCATCTGGAGTCCACCATCTCCGTATGATTGGAATGTCACACTGGAAGACACAAACATAGAGAAATCTTTAAATATCAACTGCTACAACATCATAAAGGTCAATTACTTTAACTGATAACTATTTACAGATGTAAAAGGATTCAAGGATTCAAAGCGTTTATTGTCATATGCCCAGTGAGGAAAACAAGTTTCCCTGAGCAATGAAATTCTTACTTTGCTGTCCACAATGAATGCCAAGACAGTGCAATGCTATACACACACATACACAAACTATACACATATACATACATACATACAATGTAAGAAACATAATAATAAAAACTATGCTGCAGTAGTAGGAATAAAGACTATGAAAAAAAATAGAAATATAGACTATGTGTATCTATATATGCAAGTATAGAGTAGAAATATAGAATGTGAAAATAGAAATATAGACTGTGTATATGGTATCTACGTATGCAAATGTACAGTATTAACTTATGTGCAAAAAAACAATACTGCAGTAACGTGCAAATTGAGTGCAAGTACATGATAACAATAGCAGCAGTAACAGATGTGCAAATTGAGATGAGGCTACATGAGTAATATTAATAAATATACAATGGTAGTAATAACAGCAATAACATTACAAATGATCAAATGAGATGAAACAATTTGGTCCGACTGTTCTCTGAGATAGATAAGTCCACTAGCTAGCTACCTGTTTAAGAGTCTAATAGCTGAGGGGAAGAAGGAGATGGAGGAGTCATTTGAAGATGACTTATTAATTTGACCAGTTTGGCTGGCTTAAACATGCTGGTCAAGCAGAAAATTGCTGGTAATTGCTGTAACACTTGTTGCACTGCTGCAGCTCAGGTAATGTGTCAACTCTCTGAATCCTTATATGTCTCTACAAGAGATGAAGCCACACACAATTATCTCAATGATGACAAATGGGATTAAAATAACTAAACTACAAGTTAATATTAACACACAAACAATGCATATACCAGAGGGAATTAAAGCAAGCTATTTATTTTTATGAATAATAAACGTCTTCAAAACTTCACCACAAGGCCCATTTACAACATGCATCCGAAAATTAATCGAAACATCCACAGAAAAAAGTAATATGCTATAAACTAAAGTATGACAACAAATTAAAGTTTCAATATAAGATAATAAAGCCAAGCACACATTAAGTACTTAGCAGATAAATGCTTAACGTAATATATACGACAATTATTAAACATATGATAGCAAAAACATTACAGACTACTCACTGTGCTCTCTCGTTGTCAATAACTCCGCCCCTCTCACTTCCGGTTCTGTGGCTGCGGTTCTGAAACTGCTGGTGCTGCGGGTCTGCAGCTGGATATATCTCGCAATATTAGCCATTAGAGTGTGCACGGATCCACACTTCAAAAATCGACCTCAAATAGTAGACCAACCGGGGACTTTTGGCATACTCTTTTCAACATCACATACTATTTAGGATGGATAGTATGAACATTGAGACGCAGGGATAGCCTATGAATTGGGACGCAGCTGTAACCTTTCCTATGGTGAACGTCTTATTCTTGAATATTAATTAGCTAATGGCGACGTTGTTTAGTAGTTCTCCAGTGGCGAAGGCTTGCTCATGAATATTAATCGACAACCCGTCACCGTCGTTGGATTCGTAGCGGCAGCGGCATAATGGTTTCTGTTTCCGCATTCAAGCACGCACACAGAGCACACAGAACAACATGGCTGCAGTAGGCAGCTTAGTAAACAGTTTGGCTTGTCTTTGGAGACAGCCATGTACCCGTACTTATTTACCCCATTTGTTATTTTGTATTTCGTTTATAGGATCGGTTTTGAAAACGTCGGGCCTTGTGCCGGAGAGCAACTTCAGTAACAGCAGAAATATTTTAAATCTGTAAGTACGTACAAGTCTACTGTATATGGTAGCAACCTTACCTAGATAAAACTCAATTAAACACTGTAAAACTAAATTAATTTAGTGGAAATTTGTTTGTGTTTAGAAAACAATAAGTATAGCAATATAAAAGTAATAGGCTTTAAGCAGTTTTAAAAAAGCAATGCTTGTCATTGACAACTTACTATGACATTGATTTTTGGCTCCAAAGTCATTTGATCATTTTCACTTAATTTTTTCTACTTTCAGATATTTTGTGAAAGTTTCATGGGCATGGACCATTGCTTTACTTCTGCCTTTCATCCGTTACTCCAACATTTACAACAGAAACCACACATTTGTGTTGAGGCGGCTGACTTCACTACTGGTGGCGACATTCATTTGGTACACCTGCACTGAGACTTTTTCGTACATTGAAGACATTACCGGTTCATGCTATGAGTCAGACACTATGCAAGTCATCCATAGTGACATTACCACAAAGGCGGCGTGCAAGAAGGCCGGATTCATCTGGGATGGTTTTGACATATCAGGACACTCCTTCATCTTGGCTTACTCTAGTCTTGTGATTGTGGAGGAAATGGTGCCCATGTTAAACATACCGCGAAGTGACAGAAATGTTCTTCTTGATTACATTTATATAGCACTCAATGCTATTGTGGCCATCTGGATATGGATGTTCGGATGCACTTCTGTGTATTTCCATGATATTATTGACAAGACTATAGGGACGTTGTGTGGGATATTGGGATGGTACGTGACTTATGGTGTTTGGTACCCGATGTCCTTTTCTCCAGGTCTCCCTCCACAGCAGAAACAACATGCTTAGTGTGGGAAATAAATGCTACAAGTGCACTACAGGAAGCTTGACATATCTGTACTGTTTATGTTTTGTGAGATCCATGACAGGTTAGCCTTCCAGGTGAGGCGGTAGGCAGCTGGTGTTCCTAAAATGTCGACCTGTAATCTGAGAGGTCACATCTGAACCTTATTGTTGCATTCAAATGTTTTGTGGCTTCATGCAGAGCTGGAATAAACCTGACAATAAATCTATCTTATATGGCAGTCTGCTGCTGCTTTCTGTAATCAACCTGCAACCTTCAGCTGAGCTGCCTTTTAACAGTAAATATATAAAGTTTTTCCCCCTTGACACTAATATTTTGAATATTTATAATTGGGCTATTTATTTTTTTTTAAACAAAAACGAAATCTGATCAATTGGAGGTCAGAGAATTATAGTGCAATGCATTCCTGTAAGTTTTATATTTGCAGTGTGTTTTAATAGGGCTATTTTATGTGTTCTGTCTAAAGGCCAACCTGTTGTTCATTCATATGTGCCATTGTTAGATTAGTCGTTTGCAGTTGTTGTCATTCCTCATGTCACTGATCAGTTTAGCGCAGGAAACGGACACCACCTGTTCTTAGAAACTCAAAAGGATCTAAAACATACTGTTTGTAATATTATTACAAGACTGTCTGGGGACTGGATTGATGTTTGAGTGAACATTTGGCTGCGGTTATAAGTATTTCTTACAGGTTCGAGGAACAATGCAAATTAGATGTAAATTAATTCTAAAATACAAACGATGGGACATGCTGGTTATGGAGGGCACATCCATTAGTCATTTCATGTGTGTCAATTAAACATGATTTTGAACAATTATCATTGCAATTATGCTTGTTGTCATACATCAGTATTCTAAAGAAAGCAAGCCGCAACATGTTATTATGTTGAGTTATTGTACTGTATCCGTTTTACCTGGTGTGATGACAGAGTTCTTGCTAGTATAACACATCACTGAGATGTGTTTTTATTTAATTCATTATGGTGTTTAAAAGAATAAATAGCTTTGAATTGAGGACCTCTAGTAGATGTTTTGATTTAGTTATCTCAAGGTTAGACTCTGTAAACCAAATTAAAAGGAATAGTTCACCCAAAAATGACAATTTACTCACTTGTAGGTCACCCAAGATGTAGATGAGTGTTTCTTCATCGTAACAAATTTGAAGAAATGTAGCATTACATCACTTGCTCACCAACTGAATCTCTGCAGTGAATGGGTGCTGTCAGAATAAGAGTCCAAACAGCTGATAAAAGCATCACAATAATCCATAAGTAATCCACACAACTGTGTGTTTGTTATAGTCCACTGCTTGTAATAAACAAAATCATCCATATGACAATTTCAACTTCACAATTGTTTCCAAATTGAGTCCTCTATACATAATATTGCTTTCTCAATAAAAATGTCATCTCATCTGAATAAGGACAGAAATATTCACAGATCAAGCACTGTTTACAAGTGAGAACAGTCCAAATCAGTTGTAAAAAATGTGTTCAAATATGGATTTTAATGTAAGAGGATAACAGGTGATGGAGGAAGCGTTATTATGGATTATGGGCTTGTACTTTGGCCAGCAGTGATGACTTGATGGATTTGTTTCTTAAAAACAGCTTTTCACTTCATACAATGTTAATTGATGGACTGGAGTCGTGTGGATTAATTGTGGATTATTGTGATGTTTTTATCAGCTGTGTGACTCTCATTCTGACCCATTCACTGCAGAGGATCCATTGGTGAGAAAGTGATGCATGCTATACTTCTCTAAATCTGTTCAGATGAAGAAACAAACTCATCTACATTTTGAGTCAATTTTCAGCAAACTTTAATTTTTGGGTGAACTATTATTTTAAATATCTCATCAAATATGCTCTACTGTCTTTCATTGCTCTTACATTTCTCCCTGTTTTGGTGCTGTGGAAAAATTCCGGATCTCTCTGGACAAATGTTGCAGTAGTGATACGCAGTTTAATGTGTGTCATGGGGGAAAGGCTGCTCCCCTCTTGTGCAGCTTGATTGGTACAGTCCAAGCCTCAGACAATGGTGTTTTAAAACCTCGATGTTGCTAGAATGTGCCTTTTAGACTGAGGGAGGGGGTTTGTGCTCACAGAGCAGTGGTTTATTACAGCAGTACAGCATCATCACCATCTGTGTGCAGCATCCCAGACAGGTGCGACAAGTACAGACTAAAGCTCTAAGATAGACACAACGACTTAAGTAAGCTAAATTAGATTCAAAACTTGAGACCATGACCCAGGGAAAGGTAAGCATTTTTATTCTTTACTGTTATGAGATTTTATCATTTGTCTTTAATTGCTGGTTATTAACCAAATGCAAAGAGTTTTTTCTTGTCTGTGAATTCAGTGGTCTGAATGGCTGTAATTTCTTTTACGTGCTAGTCTGTCAGCACTGTTCTGGTTTCATCTGTCCCCCATGATGATTAATAATGATCCCGTGACACTAAAATAAGCTTTGTCATGTCTTGGATTTGTTCCTTATGTTTTTGGACTGACTCTAAAATGGAAAATTCTGTAGATTTACATTATCTTCTGTACCATTTATAGACAATCTGAAATTACTACAAAATGATACCATATCCTTAGTAGCAAATAAATCCAGCACAATATATACAAATTGAACATGATTTATTTTTACCTCATTTAAACATTCTTAGAAGGGCATTCAATGGCTTTTGTTTGCCTTAAACAGGTTAAGACAAAAAGATTATATGACATAATTTAATTTAACAATGTGCAAAGCACCATTAAAAAGTGCTTGTACTGTTTTTGCTGTAATCAGCAACAGACAGAATTAAAAAAACAAACAAACAAAAAAAAAAACATGAGCAGGTACTCCTACAATATTGGTGTTGCGCCAAATAGTGGTCACAAAGTAAAACTTCACAAACTGTGAAACAGTCAAGATTCAAAACATTTTCAAATACATGGCAAAAAAATAAAAATACTACTAATAATAAAATGAATACAAGGCAGGGCTGTCATTAATAACAATTGCTATAGACTTAAAGTCAATTAGTTGAGTGAAATGTTCCAGTGTTGATGCCATTTTCCTATAAGAGAACACAATATTCTTTAAAGGGACAGTTAACCAAAAAACTGCAGACGTTCTCATGATACAACTCATCCCGGAAGCACTACACTGTTTACAAGCAGAGGAAAAGGGACAGCGTATGCAAGCCTCATTATATTTAGGTCTTGTTTTTGTTTTTTTTAATGGTGCTTTTTTAAAAATGGTGTCAACACAACACGCAAACATTGTGATGCTCTCAAGATCACTTGTAGGAGATCTATGCTGAAGAAGATATTTTGTGATAAAAATACTTTTTTTTTTGCACAAAAAGGACTTATGTTGCTTCTTAAAATTGATGTTAAGCCACTGGATTCACATACTTTAATGATGTCTTTATACCTTTCTGAACCTTGAAAGTGGTAGTTGCATAGGCTGCCAATGGGGGGACAGAAAGCACTCAGATTTCATTAAAATGATTTTCATTAGTGTTCCAAAACTGAATGAACGTCTTGCAGGTTTGGAACGAGAATTTTGATATAACTACCCTTTAAGGTAGGTTACTAACCTCTAATTCATGCTAAATTATCTTAGTGTTAAACTTCAATTGGCATGTTAACAAGGTTTGTTCTCAGCTTCTAGAATTAAATGGATCAGGATATACAGGAGGAAAGAGTCTTTTAAGGTGGCTTATAATGTAATTTATCAGCAGCAAACTCTCCTATTACAGTGAACCAGTCATTGACAAGTAATGACCAGATCAATTACTCACTCTCTCCATTCTCAGTTATGTTAAACACACTTTTGGATGGAATTATGTACAACGATTCACTAATCCATGCACAGTGTAGCCATACAGTATATGATAAAAAATATTGTTCTGACATGAATAATGTAATACATTACATTGAATAACAGGTTCTGTAACAATACAGGTTCCTTTTAAGTATCATTTTATAGACGGTTTCATCGGGTGCACGCGCCTGGCCCGAAGTTAACTTCCGGTCTGTGTTTGTTTATCAGTCTGGCTGTGGCGCCGGCTACAAACGCAGTTAAAGTTAAGGTGATGAGTAGACTGAAGTTGGGCTCAGGTGGTTGTGCTGTGGGATGTGTTTCCCATACATTTATTTATTTGTGACGCTCGCCACAATATCAAAACTGACCGATTTTCCAAAAGGCTTCATTGAATAAACGTGGGCATATACTGCACGAGGCGCGGATGTTTTTATATCACTGTATTTCTGAAGGAAGACTATCTTTAGAAAATTTTTGATGTCATTTTCATTTCATCTTGCATGTTATATGCCTGATAAAGCAGCGTTTGTGAGCTCAGCGCTGCTTTGTGTACAGCCGTTACAGGGGAAACCTCTGTTTCTCCTGCTTTAAAGCACCTCCTGCTGGCAGAGAATGAATTTGCATTTTCAGCAAGTCCATCTGATTTACGCAGCAAACATATTTTGCTTATCAAAAATAATCTACTCTAGAGGGACTACTTAGCTGCTGTTATTGATTCTATTTGGAAGTCTACCGGAAGTTAAGTTAGGGCCACAAAAGCGCGCATGCGCAGTAACATTTGTTTATGTTATTGCCGTTGAAACCGTCTATAATGAGTGCACATATATACAGAATAACAAATAAAGTTTAATATGTTTACAGGTTTCAGTAACAAGCAAGTCAAACAATGACTCGGATGTCCAGCCGATGGCTTCAGTTCCTCCAAGTTATGAGGAAGCAACTGCTGGTATATACTTTTTTTCCTTGGTGAATTTCCTTTTTAAACTGATCTGCACTTTAAAATGATTGTTAATTTAGATAGTCCCCCTAAAAATACAAATTCTGTGATCATTTATTCCCCTTCATGTTATTCCAAAACTTTATAACAAAAAATAAGATATTTTGAACAATATTGGTAACCAGCCCTGATAGCACACTTACATCACGGAGACGTCTATTTGACATCTTTACATCTGCAAGACTTATTTTTTAGAGTGTTTGCTCATCTGCAATATGTCTATAGGACGTTTCCTATCAGATGTCAAATAGACGTTTAGAGAATGTCTTTAAGATATTTATAATTTAGAATGTATGTAAAACTGACATCTTAAAGATGTCTATCAGATGTTTGTACACAGCAGATGCTTTCCAGATTAAGTGATCTTTAACAGACATCTTGCAGACGTACGTGTCGTGTGCTATCTGGGAAACAATTTCGGGTCCCATTGAGTATGAAATACTATGGAAGTCAATGGGACCTGAAACTGTTTGGTTACCAACATTCTTCAAAATATCTTCTTTTATGTTTCACAGTGACAGAACAAATATGCATACAGGTTTTGAAGGATACGGAGCACCGCACATAACATGCAGGGGAAAAAAGTAAATGGTTCGCATGATTTATAATTTGTTCCCTAGGTTTAAGTACATTTTTAAAAATTCTGGTGGACTATCCATTTAACTCAGTGAATACCAATGTATTTTGGTCACTATTCACTAATATACGTAGAACACTAATGGCATTCATCACCCATTGAGAAACAACTTGAGAAACAAAATGTTTCATATTTCCTTTTGGTATTGAAAGGTGGAAGCCCTTGTTATAGTGGAGCCTATCCTGGAGATGGTGAGATGCTCACAGAATTCAGCTGGGATGACCAAAACATCAGGAGGATATTCATCCGCAAGGTATTGTTGCCTTCTGTTGCAGTTCTAAACGGCTGTGGAAAATATGGAGTGAATTAATGTAATATTATTTCCTGTAGGTGTACACCATCCTTATGATCCAGCTATCTGTCACAATTGCCTTTGTGGCTCTTTTCGTTTTCTGGTGAGTGTGTGAGCTGAACAAACTTTCATAATGCATTATTCCTTTTTTTAAGCTTGTTTAACAATGTCTTGTTTTACTTGTAGTGAACCCGTGAAATATTACATACAGACCAACCCTGGCTGGTACTGGGCATCATAGTGAGTACAATTCATTACTTTGGGTTGACACTGTAAATGCAAATCTTAAAATTCAGTTTGAATTTAGACAGCATATAATACAGTAATTCAGTAGTAGTGCAAGTTTTTCCTTACTGTGTTGCTATGCCGTGAATGTATAATGGCTTAATTGTCTTTTTCTCCCAACAGTGTGGTGTTTTTTGTCACATATCTGACTCTATCCTGCTGCCGTGGACCCCGGTGAGTGCATTTGTAGAGATACAGATGTATATATAATGTAGCTAATATACAAAATAATCATAATTTATATTCTAAAATAATGTTTATATATTTTTTTTTAGCAATTAACTCTAATTAAATGGACACATTATATAATATGCATTCATCTTTTATACTTACAGGAGGCAATTCCCATGGAATCTGATTCTGCTCATTATCTTTGTGAGTATTAAAACAACTAAAACAACCTTAATTACAAGTCTTTGGTAATTAAACTAGCTATTATTTGACAAATACTAATATTGATCAAGAAAAAGCCTGTTTTCACATATAAAAGAAAGTCTTCCTCTATTTAAACATGTGATCTCTCTTCTTCTGTTCCAGACTCTGTCTCTTTCTTACATGACAGGAATGTTGTCCAGGTACAGTCTCACGATATACGTGTATCATATCTTTTTTTTTTTTTTTACATACATGTTAAATATGTTCTGCATAATTCATGATTTCATATTCATATTTTCACTTTGTCAAACTTGCACAGTATATTGTGTTATGTCAAAAAATGATTTATAGTGAAATCATTTTGCATGTAACAAGATGTCTTTTATAGACCTATTTCTTATTTAAATATCCCACCTCTGGCTTCATCTCTCTAGCTACTACAATACTAAATCTGTCATCATATGCCTGGGTATTACTGCCTTGGTGTGTCTTGCTATTACTATCTTTAGCTTCCAAACCAAGGTTAGTATTATTAAAAGCAACACATATTTTCATTTGTCTTGAATGCAATCATTTTCAACTGTAATCTGGAGTATGTTTCAGGATTCTGGATTCAGATCAAATGTTTGCGATTTTACAGATTGATATTACTTCATGCCAAGGTGTGCTGCTAGTCTTCTGCACAGTAATATCTTTTTTTTTTTTTTTTACATACATGTTAAATATGTTCTGCATAATTCATGATTTCATATTCATATTTTCACTTTGTCAAACTTGCACAGTATATTGTGTTATGTCAAAAAATGATTTATAGTGAAATCATTTTGCATGTAACAAGATGTCTTTTATAGACCTATTTCTTATTTAAATATCCCACCTCTGGCTTCATCTCTCTAGCTACTACAATACTAAATCTGTCATCATATGCCTGGGTATTACTGCCTTGGTGTGTCTTGCTATTACTATCTTTAGCTTCCAAACCAAGGTTAGTATTATTAAAAGCAACACATATTTTCATTTGTCTTGAATGCAATCATTTTCAACTGTAATCTGGAGTATGTTTCAGGATTCTGGATTCAGATCAAATGTTTGCGATTTTACAGATTGATATTACTTCATGCCAAGGTGTGCTGCTAGTCTTCTGCACAGTATTGTTTATTTGTGGACTTGTCCTGGCATTCACCCTTCCCTTTGGATATGTAAGTACCAATGTCAGCAGTTGATTGGTAGATTTATTATTTCTCAGCAGGGTGCTGGACTTTAATATTCACAGAAACGAGAATGTGCTTTCACCAATTTTTTTCTCTTTACAGGTTCCATGGTTGCACGCTGTGTACGCTGTATTGGGAGCAATACTGTTTTGCATGGTAAATAATTATTAAGTAATATAATTATATCATATAAGTATTTTTAACTCAAAGTAATTTTAGATCAGATTTTAGTTCAGATTAATCCTGTAAAGCCTAACATATGAAATAATAGTCATTATTTTATGTGTTTGTAATTATTGTCATCTTATTGTTTGCATCTCTCTTTTGTCTTATAGTTCCTGGCATTTGACACACAGATGCTGATGGGGAAAAAGCAATACACCATAAGTCCTGAGGAATACATCTTTGCCACTCTCAGCATATACCTGGACATTGTTTACATCTTCTCTTTCATTCTCCAGTTGTTTGGAACTCCTGAACGGGAGTGAATATGCTGTTAACCTAAAGCTCTAACGGCTCTCCTGAGTGTCTTTTGTTTCTCTGATTTGAGTGATCCTGTCTTTCCAGCATGATTTGGATCTTCAGGGCACGTTGTTGTGTTTAAGCCCCTCACCTCAGCTTTACGATGTGCCATGCATTTATCCTGTAGCATGAAGGAGGTCTTGCATATACATTGCATATGTACACTGGTAAAACCTGAACAACATTCAGCCAGTTTTACAAATGGTGTCATAGAAAACAAAACAGAAAATATTAAATGCACTGATGCCGTGAAACCTATATGATGTCATTAGCAGTGAAAGTGCATGAAATAGAGCAGAAACAGCATCACACTGGGGTGAAACTGTTTCGTAGGATTTATCCATCAGTGTCCACCGCATTCATCTTTGTGTCTGACCCTGCAAAAGTTTCATATGTGATATCACAGCATGAGGGCATTTTAACAAATCATTCTGAAAAACTAGATATTGTGGTTTTAGGTGTGCACATACAGTATGAATCAAAGCAACATTTAAATTTCTGAGTTCATTTGTACAAATTTGATTTAAATAATCAGTGTTTCCATTTGAATTTACCATAATATTTCATATGCTAGGAATTTCCTATTTGGTGATTTTCACTGCCATTGTAAAGTAATTGACTTGATTGAGATATGGTTTTTGAGAAGTAATTATATTGCTTAGGCCTTTATGTATTATTAAATCTGATTTTTTTTTTCATTCCATAGAGTTTTAATGTATTATCAGCACAGATCTATTTTTGAAGACAATGAGTTGTGAATGATTTTGGATGTGTACATAGCTTTACAGTGTTCACTAAAAGAGGACAAAATCACTGCAGCTGGATTTAAACAGTATGCAGTACATATTAGATATTTTTTTCCTGTTTGTAGCCTTTACAGTAGAGACAGTGTAATAAATATAATTTATTAAAATGTATTGAATATGAAATTAATATATGACAATGTATGTTCTAATTGCACATTAAAAAGATGCATTTCCTCAGTCAGAGTAAATAAATGTTGTGTCTTGAATTTCTCTGAAAATACAAATATAATTCCAGTTTCTTCCTATATTTTTGTGTGCAGGTGTGTTATCATAGTAACATTACAGATTATCAACACAATTATTTCCCTTTTTAATAAAACAAGCTTACATCTCATATGTGGGGGGCCTTAACTTTTAATTTAGGCCTACATCAAAGAGAAAACTGACCAGATTAATAGACCAGTTTTGTGGAAAAATGTGTATGATGTTTAAAACTTTTTCTGAGATCTCTTAATAAATTAGTAGACATGCAAAAAAATAAAAATAAAAAATAGAAAGACTCGGTTGAATGAATGATTCAATGACTCGCTTTTAAAACACAAACATTAATTTATCGCCACCTACTGGCATAACGATGTTACCTGCAGAAAGAGTCAATGAAACAATCACTAAACGATTCAAAAGATTAAAGTCACTGAAATTAATCAATCCCCTCTACTACAGCAGAGTATTTAAAGTTAAAGCTTATATAAAGGCACTGATTCAGTGTTGTTACGTTCGTGAACGAATCGTTCTTTTTGAACGAATCTTTTTGGTGAACGAATCGTTCTCGTTCACGTAATCCATTGACTCATATTTCTCGTTCACTGATATTCCTCCCTCCATAGCAGCGCATGCGCAGATCAGTGAACCGGGTAGCGCTGTCATCCTGTCAAAGAATGACTAAACCTCGAGCCAATAGCCTTCGTGTATGAGATGTGATGGAGCATGTGATTTGTTGAATGTAGTGAACGAATACGCCCTTCACTGACAGAGGTTCTTTTGAGTCTGAACGAGAGAGATCTTCTCGTTCGTGAATGAAATGAATGAACTGGTACATCTCGTTCGTGAATGAAATGACTGAACTGGTACATATCTCGTTCGTGAATGAAATGATTTTTGGCTAGAGAATTTCACGGATACGGTACAAAATAGTTAGGTTTAAAAAGATTATAAATTATATTGATTAGATGTCATTTTCAAAATGTTCTACGCATATTACAAGAGCTTGTCAGTCAGCGATAAGCACTGTTATTCAACGAAATTGACGTTAGAGAGTGTGATAGTCTTACAGAGCCGAAACGGGTGAACAGTGGTTTTTGTGGGCGGAGCCTATCTGGAGGCAGAAAATGACGGTTTTCCAGCGGCAGTCTATGGAGCCATGGAATAAAAGAATTAAAAAAGGTAAATTTGATTTTATATTTCAAAAGTATGACTTTATTCTCGCAATTCCGAGATTATATCTCACAATTCTAATAAGGAAAAACAACTCGTCATTCTCTCTTTTCCCCTCGGCTCTTCTGTTTTTTTTCCCCTCAGATTTGACAAACTCACTATTTTTGAGTAAAGTCGAGTTATAAAGTCCGAATTAGGAGATATAAACTTGCATTTGCGAGAAAAAAAAAGTCAGAATTGTGAGATAAACAATACGTCCCCTATGAACAGCATATGTGAATATTATGTAGACCTATTGTTTAAATCGAATTTATGCTTTAAAAGTAGAGTAATCATAGCAGTTTTCATCCATAGTGTGTCCATTTAAACGTCTGCGTTTAGCTTCAAATGACGACAGTATTCTATAAAAATTATTTGCATTCCGATCTTGACAACAAAAGGCACAAAAACATTTTTTTCTTTTATTCCATGGATTTTACCCATTTCCCTCCACTTGTTCCCAGTGTTTTTCTGCAACCACTATGCGCGCGCAGCTGCAAGTGACGTAACTGTGACGTCTACTCTAAATTGGTCTATTGGTACTGTGCAAATAAACTTGTTTATATATTCATATTTAGCACATGTTTAGAACATAACTCAACGTTTAATCCCCGATTTATGAATGTTTAAATGTCTGACCAAACAATTAAAATATTAATTATGCAAGAAAACCTTGTGCTTTGGTAATCTGAACAACTTATTTAGACTTTATTTATTTAATGAGTAGATTATGCACACATTTTAATAAAGCCAAATCAGTTTTTTGTAATAAGTAAATACGTTCGTTGATTTAAGACATAACACATAAGACACTCCTTTTCGCCACCTGCTGGCGTATTTATGTAATATGAAGAAATGGTCACTGAACGAATCTGAAAGAATCATTTTGGTGAACGAACTGAAAATGAACGAATCTCTTGAAAGAATCAAACTTTCCACCACTAGCGCTGAAACCATAGACATATAAATATTTATTATGTCTATGGCTGAAACACTGTGTACTTCTTCTTCTTCTTTAGCGTTTATTGGCGGTGGGCAAGCCAACTTTTGGTGCATTACCACCACCAACTGAACTGGAGTGTGGAGTAACAATGAGAAGGCTTTATAAAAATAAATAAATAAATACAAATAAATAAATAAAATTACATACAATTATTCCTTATATTCTCATAAAGACTCCAGTGTCTATTAGATAACTTATTCACTTTGCACTTGATCCCACCATTCCTCTTTCAAAACACTGCGCACTGATGACGCGCTTCCGCTCCGCTCATCCAATGGGAAAGCGCGGTTTTAACATGTGGGCTTCGGCCATGTTCTGCTTTTAAATAAGGAAGAAGCGGGAGGCGTTAATGCAACTTTGTGTACTCAATATCTCATTCACAGAATCGCTTACGGCTTCTGAGAAATTCGAGTATGTTAGGAAAAAATATTCACAACAGATACTAACACACACGGGCAGCTATTTGGAGCTCGCTTAACCTCAGAGGTAATTATTGCTGGGCTGGTATCTCGCGTGTTAGCAGCTGGTTAGCTGGTTGAGCTAAAGATCAGCGGTGAGGATTTATCTGAACGGGTTTAGTCGTGTTTAAGTGAAGGATTCAGCTACTTTTATCTAACAAAGCTGGTTAGCAGTGGCATGCGGATGAAGGGCAGAGGGAGCCCGCGTTTGGGACTGCGCTGACAGCCCTAACGACTTATCCTGCTATAATCGAGGCTTTCAGTCTTTCATCATGTTTAATAAGTTATACGAATGGATCGGAACCGGAATCGCCAGTCTGCGAAACGGAGCTCAAGCTGGTGGGGTTCATACTGGTTCCGTGAGAGTGGATCAGGACGGGACACTACGGAGAAAGAGACCACTAGACTGGTAAAAAGATTGTTTATATGTGTAAAAAACTGTGAGCGGATTGCTTACAAGTGCAAGAACTGTTATTTTATTTATTATTTGGTCTTATAATAAAAGTTTAGGTCTTTAAACTGTTTTTTGAGTCGTAATGTTTTGATTCGGTCATTGTGTTGATAGGATGATGTTAGAAACGCGTGCGCGTCCGGAGCTCCTGAAAAACTATTCATTTTCTTCTCTTTTGTCGTTTATTTTAATATATGAATCTAACGTTATATTGTTTGTGCGTCTGCTGCTTCCAAAAGAAAAAAAAAGCCAAAAGAAAAAAAAAAAGCAACCATTTGAAGTTAATATTATGCTTATGGTATTGCATTATCTTATTTTTGTTTAACATTAATGTATTTTTATATATGTATTAATTATAAACAATTAAATACAAATGTTCTTAAATATTTGTTACATGTTCATTATAATACAATACCTTCCGATAACTTACCTGTCTCAATTTCCACAGTTTGGAAGATGGAGATGCAGTTGATCAGGACGAGGAGAGAGTGGTGAAGAAATTCAGAATGGGTAAATAACACTATTCTGAATCAATGATAAAAACTGATTTATGCCAATTACAAGAACATTTTGTTGCTTGTTCTTTAGGAGATATTATGGATACAGTGAAAAATGCAGCTGAGGGAGTGAAAACACATGTTGCTTTTTGGATGAAGAACAGTGTCAGACCTAATCCAAGGAACATGTTGCCGACATCACCGGGTCCACCTCAAATAGGAATACCATCAGAACCTGCAGCCAATTCCACTGCATCAGCATCTTTGTGGGTGGAAAACAAGGTACTTTTTTGCTCATCAAGATCTCAGTGGGTTTACTTCATTTCCTTGAGATCAGGTATCACAGAAGAGCAAAAGCTGTCGTGTCCAATTCATTTGTTCTAATTCAGTCTAATTATTTGTATCTATGCTATATATTTTAGCATGTTTACTTATGTTTTGCTTTTTCTTAAAGTTTGAGGATCGGTCACATGATATACTTGAGGACACATTTGTAGCTCCCTCTAGTTCAGTTGAATGGAGAACTGTCACAAAATCTGGTAAGAGTAAAAATTGTTCATGTTTTCTGTGTGTAGTTATTTGTTTTTCTTTCTGCAAGTTACATATATTGTCTTTTTCTGTTGTGACAGATTCCTTACGGACTGAACAGTCAGTCACCATATCAAAAGCAAGCAGAAGACAAGTTTGTATGGACCATCCACCCCAAGAGAGACACAAAGCTAACGGACACTCTGTTATCTTACCCTCTGCTTCCATGCCAAACCCATCCCCCTCTCCCCACTTGGGCAGATCCCTGTACCACCGACCACACAGGTTGAATTAAACATAGAATAAATGTGTTAAATCATGACATTTATGTTAGAAAGAGTCATAATTAAATAATTGAATTTAGTTTCTTGTTAAATGTTTTGTTGTTAGATATTATTGCTCCGGTTCGAAAGAGTAATAAATGCAAGGATATGAAACTGAAAGGAAATTTGTTTCTGTGTTGTAGCTTTTCGTCATCTCCTGAGACCAGTTCAGGACAAGCCAATTATACCAGCCTATATGAGAAGACCTTTCCCATCCGAGTGGTCCAGAGACCTTCACATGGCAGCTCTAATCGTCTCTTCCAGGCCAGAGCCCGCTGTACAGCACAGGAGGTCAGACACTTGTTGTACTGGTTTGCTTAATAAACCAAATATTTCATGACATAATAAATGGTAAAATTACTTATTAGACTTAGGACTGCACAATAAGAGTAAAACTGAATTCTGATTATCAAATAACAAGGGCTGTGATTTAATCAATGTGCAGCATGAGTGAAGAACTGTTTTCATTTACACATGTTCAGCTCAGGATATTTTTATTTAGTAGTAGTAATAATAATGTTTATTATTATTATTGTTGTGTAGTCAAATTGATATATAATTACAATTTGGGCCAAATTCTGTAGCCAAACAAACAATACAGCACATCTGGAGATTGTTGTTGTTTATTTTATCAGATGTTATTAGATTTTTCCCCAGATTTTGCAGCCCTAATTGGACTTTGCTTTTGTTGTTATTATAGTCGGTGCGTGAGGAAGAAAAGGAGGTTTACAGGCAGCTTCTAGCCGTGGTGTCTGGTGGCCAGTCGACCTTCCTTCACGATGGAAGTTCTCACTCCAGCATTCGCTCGCATCGAGATTTGTGAGTATCTGTGTCGCGTTACTTTAAAACGTGTATTCTTTATGTCTGTGACTAAACCTGAGCTGTTTAAAGGGATAGTTCAAAAATGAACATTTTATCATTCTGTTGCTCACCTTCATATCATTCCAAACTCATAAGACTTTCGTACATCTTCAGAACACAAATTAATATTTCTAATATAATTTTTTTTTATATTCTCTGATTCTTATTGACCATCCTCTGAAAGTCATATAGTTCCTGTAGATCAAGCAGTTTAATCTTAAGTCTTCTGAAGAGACACAGTCACTTTTTATTAGGGATGTAACGATGCACCTTGAGCCTGTTGAAAATCGTTACAAGCATATAACTATTCAAATCGGTTGAGATGTTAAACGAATCGCGATTCATTTGGGGCTGGGAGTTTATATGAATGTATCTCTGAAGGGAACTGACTGTCTTTAGAAAAGTTTAGATGATATTTTCTTTTCATCTGTATGATGCATATTAAACTGATTTAAACTATTATAGATCAGTGGTTCATATGTGCAGCACTGCTTTGTTTACAGTGGTAACCAAGGAAACGCTGTATCGCTGCTGTTCCATAAGTGCCATCTGCTGTCAGAGAGTGAATTTGCGTCTCTTTCAGTCTGTCAGCTGTTTTTGTCTCGTTCAGATGTTTTATGTCGCATAATTTCACAACGTTTAAGTCAGACCATTCTGTTTTTGATTCAGATTTCGAATTTATATAATCTAATTTAGATTAAAACTGCTCATGCAGCATTTTTGTTTGGATCATGATTAAAATACAGTGGTTGCCTCTAACTGAATGGAAAGAGCACAGACAAAGCCTTAGTTTGTTTATATGAAGACAAAAGTAAGTATCAAAACTACAACTGTATTGCGATTCGTTTAATATCTCAACCGATTTGAATCGATTCGTTTAATATCTCAACCGATTTGAATCGTTACATATTTGTATCGATTTTCAACCGGCTCGCGGTGCATCATTACATCCCTGTTTGTGTTATTTATTTAGTGAAGTGAAGTGACATGTGGCCAAGTATGGTGACCCATACTCTGAATTAGTGCTCTGCATTTATCCCATCCTAAGTGCCCGGCAGCCATTTTTGCTGTGGCGCCCGGGGAGCAGTTGGGGGTTCGGTGCCTTGCTCAAGGGCACCTCAGTCGTGGTATTGAAGGTGGGAGAGAGCGCTGTACATTCACTCCCCCCACCTACAATCCCTGCCAGTACGAGACTCGAATCCGCAACCTTTGGGTTACGAGTCCGACTCTCTAATGAGTCCACGATTTCCCCGCTTTTTTTTTTTTATCATATGAATCACTCAGTTTATTTGATTTGATTTGATTTGTTTTAAAATTTCAATGTAGTTTTGTTATTTGACATTTCAATTTCACAAAGAAATGTTCAGCATTTTGTCCAAACAATAATAAAAGGACATCTTTTCATTTGGAATTTGTCTTAAATCTCTTAAAAAAAAGAAATAAATGAAAACGTGAGAAAATCGTATTGTGAAATCAGTATCATGAATCGTTACATCCCTACATCCCTACTTTATATGATTTGATTTAGGCTTTTATTCACATGAAAACATTCATCAGCACACATGCATAGAGCTCATCAAATATGGTAAACACAGAAGCTCATCTGTGCTTAATTGACATGTAAGAACAAATCTCATTGGTTCTTGCCGAGCACAAACATGCTTGCATCACATCAGTACAAACCTCATTGGTGGTTGCTCGTCAAGCAAACATGTTTGATCTTCTGTTTATCATATGAATCACTCAGTTCATATGGATTGTTAACAATGTCTTCATGAACTTTCTGAAGTTTTGGTGAAATGGGCTTTAAGTTTTGGTGAAATGGGCTTTAAATGATGGGCCAGATATTTTCGAAGATGAAAGTTATGGATTTTGATCAAGCTGAGTGTAATTGACAGAATTTTTATTTTTGGGTGAACTATTCCTTTAAGATATTTTTTGATGGTTTCTCTTACTTAGAGCGAAACATTTGGTCTCATTTCATCTCCAGCTTCCTGTCGTCCAGTCGAAGTCGTCTTCAGTGTGCCTCTCTAGCAGGCTCTGATGCTGGAGTGTCATCCTATGGGTTATCCAGTCCGCCTCCCAGCCCCCGGCCTGGGTCCAGCCAGACTTCCAGTGCCCTTCCCAGTCCTGGTGCGTCCTTTAGCATTCCAGAGCCTCAGCTATGGGTCCATGACCTTGAGCCCAGTGCTAAAGGATCAGCTGTTCCCTCAGCTCCGTCACCAGCTGCCCTTCAGGATACCTCCTCTCAGGACACGCAGTCATCAGGTGAGTCCCATTTTTCTCTTTCTTTTTCATGTTTGTAATGTAATCCTGGCTTAAAGTTTGACTTTAAGTACTGTTTCACTTTCTTAAGCTCATGACGGAGATTCAGTCATTTTTGTGAAGGAGCAGCAGGGGAAGAAGCATGAAAGCTCAAGGTAGCAGAACATTTTTAGTTTATCTTTTCATCCGTTTCTTTTTTTCTTTACATAACCCTATCTTACCCTTTCTAGTGTGCCGTGCTTCCAGGCTGAACTGTGGATCAAAGAACTGTGAGTACTTGTTTTCTCTTGTCTAACATGTACAAGTATCAGTGCCTTTAGTTTGTGGTAGTGAATAGCTTCTGAAATCGTCCATATTTGTTGTGTATTTTCAGGACTAGCCTCTATGACTCACGAGCTCGGGAGCGACGGAGGTTGATTGAAGAGCAGGAGGCTCTGGCCTCTCAGCTCTTGCACCAGGTAAGTTTCCCATCTTTTTATGCTACACCTGCATTTTATGTGACTAACCCACTCATGTTCTCATTTGTATCATCAGCGCCTCTCTGGAGAGGGTCGAGCCGCCCGAGCGAGCATTGAGCTAAAGCTTCGAGTTCCTCTAGAGAAGGAGGTTCCTGTTGCAGCTGTTATCCAAACGCCTCAGCCTATTAAAGAGGAGCCAGAATTCCCAGAGTTAACAGAGGTAAGTGCTCCTAACTCAATACAAGTGCTCCTTCTGTGGAATACAAAAGTAGGTATTTTGAATAATTCAATTCAAGTTTATTTGTATAGTGCTTTTTACGATACAAATCGTTGCAAAGCAACTTTACAGAAAATTACGTTTCTACAATATTTAGTAGTAGCTTATCAGTGGTGGCTGTCAGTTTATGTACATATGGCAGAAATGTATGGAAAAATCAATTAAAGACGTAATCAAGAATGTTGGTAATCAAACAGTTTTACCATTGATTATTTTTCAAAATATCTACTCTTACGTTGTAATTAAGTCATATAGGTTTGAAAATACCATGATGACAGAATTTTCATTTTTGAATGAACTTTTCCTTCAAGCTAGGGATGTTCATTTCGGTTATTTTTCCTAACCGACAACCGACGCTCGTTAACCGATTGTTAACCGTTACCCGACAAGATTATTTTAAATTAGAATTGAATTAAATTAAATTAGAAAGAATTAGTGTCTGTGACCCGTTAAAAAATACTAACATTTGTTTCCCAGGGATTCATTTTACATGCGCAAAAAGCAGCAAACAACAGAACATGAGGATTCACATGGTCATCATATCACATCATGCACCTGCAGCTTCTGCGAGCGGAGAAAAACATAATAAAGCTAGGCTATATATTAGGGCTGCACGATAAATCGCATGCGATATTTAATGCCTATATATATATATATATGTATATGTGAGAAAAAACTGCAACAAGTAGCCTAGTATGCAGAGTGATGTTATGCAAAACAACATCACGAACGATATTGGAACGCAAGTGAAGTAGCCTACGTAATAAATAATAATTTGCCATTCAAATACATCGTGAATACGGAAACATTTGATTTTGTGTGGAATGAGAGACTGCGTCAGCATTAGGTCTATTTCTGAAATAAAAAAAATGCCACTTATACGCGACTTATGTTTTTTTTTCCCCCCTAAAAACACTTTTTTTAATATGCGTAGCGTATATTATCCATGCAGCAAACCTTTTAAAATATTTTTATAAATTACTGAAAAAATTAATAATTAAATGACGTTTTAAACCGTTTAACTGATTGTATTAATCGGTCAAAATTCTTATGGTCGGTTAACCAGTTAAAATGAACATCCCTGCTTCAAGCTCATTTGTTTTTGTTGAAATTACTTGTCTAAAAGTCTGAAACTATTAGTGAAAAGGTTACATTTGTCTTTCTAATTGAAAGAGAACAACTGCACACTCACTTAAGCATAGGCTATTTATTATCCAACGTTTCGGCTAGTAGCCTTTGTCAAGGTATGCATTTGTCTTTCTGCAATACCTGAAGATCCAGATGTTATCCAGCATGGTTTATATCAAATACATTTTTATTGTTTTTTTTTTTCTTAGAGCATTGACTTGGTCTTGTGTAGTGATGTTTGATTAGTTTCATTGAAATATTTCAAAGAATTTAAATATTTTTTCATTATACATCATAACATTTTATTTTTTTAAACAGTTGTTTGATCCCTGAAGTATTTCACTTTATTAACTGAATGTATAATCATTATAGTTCAATGCTGTAATGTCAATTTTATCAGACTTAAGATGCATTACAGTAGAATTCCAAGCTTTTTCTAACTTTATCTAACTTAAAATATTCAATTTAAGTACCCGCTGAAATTTGTAATTATTATTTAAATAATTTAACAATACATTTGAACAATTAATGTTCACAGTTCTTTGATGTTGGTTATTGGTCACATATGCAAGTAAACAAAGTGTTCTTTTATCAGTATGTGTTTTATTTTGTACTTGAATGGTCCTGCTTGTGGTGCTCACAGGATATGGTGAAAGAGGTGAGCAGAGCTCTGAGAGGTGGCATTCAGGATGAGGTTCTCAGCGAGGGCTTCCGCCTCACCATCACCAGAAAAGACCTGCAGACGCTCAACCACCTCAACTGGCTCAACGATGAGGTCAGAGCTTTATTATGTCATTCAGGTTTCTGAACAAGCGTGTCAGTAAATGGATTAAGATTCTTTAATCATTTTGTGTGAGGTGTTGCCATAATTATCAGTTTGTCAATGATTTGAGTGCCTGACTGATATATTTCCTCCATTTCAGGTTATTAATTTCTACATGAACCTGCTGGTGGAGCGCAGTAAACAGCCCAACCTGCCCTCCGCTTACACCTTCAACACCTTCTTCTTTCCCAAGCTGCGGCGCTCCGGTTACTCTGCTGTCCGCCGCTGGACCAAGAAAGTGGACATCTTTTCTGTAGACATCATTCTGGTGCCTGTCCACCTGGGGGTGCACTGGTGCCTGTCTGTAAGTAGCTAACCAGCACCAAGGTCACATTGAGGACATGTGCATGGAAGATGCATTGCATGTGGGCTGATGCTTTCTTTCCTGACATTCACAAGTACTTCAGAATAGTATTATGATACATTTCAATCAGTTTAATGAATGAATAATTCAAATAGGTTTGCTGTCAAGTTAGGGCTGGACAATAATTCAATATCAATATGTATCGCGATATAATTTTTTTCAATAACGGTGATATGATTTTTAAACACATTTCCGATATTTCGATATACATTACCAGTTTCCCATACATTGATTTATTTGTGCCGTTTGACTTCGTTGAATAAACATGAGCAGTGCACGTTTCAAAATCATAACACGGCGCGGGTGTTTTATATGAATGTATCTCTGAAGGGAACTGACTGTCTTCAGAAAAGTTTCGATGGCATTTTCATTTGATCTGATAAAGAAGCATTCATGAGCGGAGCTGCTTTGATTACAGCCATTACTGGAGAAACCGCTAGTTTTATCACTCCAAAAGCGCCTCCTGCTGGCAGAGAATGAGTTTTCATTTTAAATAAGCCCGTCTCCAGCAACATTTCCAGTTTTTGTTGTTGTTCAATTTTTTTGTTTTCTGCAGCGACTCTGAGCACTTTTCATACCCTTTTTTCTGGCTGAAGCACATTTGTTTCAATCTATAAGAATAATCAGCCTACACTACCAGTCAAAAGTTTTTGAACAGTAAGATTTTTAATGTTTTTTTTTTTTTTTTTAAGAATTCTCTTCTGCTCACCAAGGCTGCATTTATTTGATCCAAAGTACAGCAAAAACAGTAAAATGTTGAAATATTTTTACTATTTAAAATTGCTTTTTATTTGAATAGATTCTAAAACGTAATTTATTCCTGTGATCATACATAGGTAAATTTTCAGCATCATTACTCCAGTCTTCAGTGTCACATGATCCTTCAGAAATCATTATAATATGATGCTTTGCTGATTATCAATATTTAAAACAGTTGAGTACATTTTTTTTCAGGATTCTTTGATGAATAGAAAGATCCAAAGATCAGCATTTATCTGAAATAAAAAGCTTTTGTAACATTATACACTATTCCGTTCAGTATAATTTTTATAATTTTTTTGGGAAAGAAATTATAGAAATTAATACTTTTATTTAGCAAGGATGCTTAAAATTGATCAAAAGTGATGATAAAGGCATTTATAATGTTACAAAAGATTTCTATTTCAGATAAATAGTGTTCATATCGATATCGGAATTATATCGTATCGACCGAAAGTAAGAAATATACCGTGATATCAATTTTGGCCATATCGTCCAGCCCTATGTCAAGTCAGGATTGGCATATCTCATTTCTTCTTTTTTGCCTTTCGAAAGGTGGTGGATTTTCGTAAGAAGAGCATCACTTACTTTGATTCAATGGGAGGAAACAACGACGAGGCCTGCAGGATTTTATTGTGAGTGCTGCTTGACGATTAGATGATGAAATGGGTCTGCAAGAAGTGCCTTTTCGAAATGAGTCCCATGATAACCCATTAAGAAATAAACAGAATAAATTATGCATGACTAGACATTGTCAAAAGTGTCTTAATTGTGTCTCTGTATAACAGAAAATATCTGAAACAAGAAAGTGAAGACAAGAAGGGGCAGAACTTTGATACCTCAGAATGGACTCTAAAAAGTAAAAGAGCCAATGTGAGTTTCCCAACGTAAGAATAACTTGGGGCTTAAATTGACCAAGAAGCTTGAGGATCATCTCAAAGATTTTATTTGTCTTCCGAATCCTTAGGAGATTCCTCAGCAAATGAATGGAAGTGATTGCGGAATGTTCACATGCAAATATGCTGAATACATCACCAAAGACCGGCCAATCACATTCACACAGGTGAGCGTCAGTTGGATAGAGTTTGAAATAATTTATTGGTTTGTGACACTTGTATATGGAATTTTCATTTACTTTTCTGTCATTTCTGAAACAGAAACACATGCCTTATTTCAGAAGACGAATGGTATGGGAGATCCTGAACCAGAAACTGTTGTGATTGGATGATTATTTTGTATAGAACTTATTTTGATGTGTCGTATGGATACGAGGGCTCCTGTGCGCTTCAGGAACCCCGAGTCAAATATGGGGATGCCCTTAATCACCGGTCATTTCTATGCTGTCTAAATGAAACTCGGGAAGTCCTCATGCACCTAAAGGACATAGTCTCAGCCTTTAAGAGTCAGGGCAATGGTTTTATGCCCCTTTATAATTCCCTATAACTTGACATGCTTTTGCTTTGCCAGCGAATGTTGTTTGACTGACAATGGAAGGATGTTTCCTTATGTCTTAAGATGACTTCAAATGATCATTTGTGTTAATTGGCATGGAGTGTGCTTGATCTCAAATCATCTGAAGTCATAAATGTTACAGTAATATGATCAGTTTTACACTGTCTTTTTACTCTAGGACTAGTAAAATATCTGGAATTGACAATCACGGACTCACTCAGTGGTTTTCTAATGAAAAACAGCAGTTTACTTAATATTTGTGACATTTGATACCTGTATGTTTTATACAGACACTGTCAAGATAATTAACCATGAAATTAATTTTATTTTAAATAAATAACTAGGACTCAGAGTCTTCTTTTTGGAGAGAGACAATTTTTTTTTCAGATTAAAGTGAGTTTTGTGATTCTTTTTTTCCCTAGAGTTAATGAAAAGCGCTTGTGCTGCAATGCTTTTGACTTCCGTATGTTTTGGGATGGAGCTCTGCCATCACAGGGATATGTTTATTTTTATCAGTATTTGGTGGCTTTTTGATAACTTGGGAGTCTTCTGATCATTTTGGCCAACTTATAGACAGACTGCACTTACATTTATTTGCTTTTTCACAACCCAGCAGTGTCATACATCTTGTTTTTCTGTTCTGTTCTTCCTTTTGTGTAAGAGAAAATTTATTTTTGGCAAATGTTTCTAGGTTTTTTTCCCTGCAGGATATTGACAGTTATTGTATATACAGTGACCATATGGTAAAACTGAAGACATATTTAATACTCATTTTGTACCTTTTATTATCTGTTTTTGTATGTGGAACAGATCTTACTGGAAGTAAATTCCTGAGGTCATGTGTGTATCAGAGGATAAATGAAATCATTTCAAATGAATTATTGTTTGAGTCTTGTCTCTCAAGCTCATGTTGTCTTAAAGGGTTAGTTCACCCAAAAATTAAAATTCTGTCATTAATTACTCACCCTCATGTTGTTCGAAACCCATAAGACGTTTGTTCATCTTCGGAACACAATTTAATATATTTTTGATGAAATCTGAGGGCTCTCTGACCCCATAGACAGCAAGGTAACTACCACGTTCAAGGTCCACAAAAGTACCAAGATGATCAACAAAGTAGTCCGTGTGACATCAGTGGTTCAACTGTAAAGTTACAAAGCTACGAGAATACTTTTTTGCGCAAAGAAAACAAAAATGACTTTATTCCACATTTTCGTCTCTTTGGACACGCGTTCACGACAGTAACATGACGCGAGCGTGTGGCGGCGCCGGCGCTGACCCAGATCCGACGTGATGACGTCATTACGCTGGTAAAAGCGCTTCAACACTGCCGTCGTCTGTATGCACGTACAAATAATTAACTGCACTTGAAGCTTTCATAAAATTAAAAATTAAACACCCAAAACTGTACATGGCATCATCACGAAGACGAACTATATGTTTATACGTGAAATTCGGGAGGGGACGTCGGATGGCGTCACGTGGGGACGTAATGACATGTGCCATTAATCGAACTATGTACTATAACATGTAAAACAGGAACATGAAAGGAATATTCTAAAAGCAACTCATGTAAACACCATAATCATAATATTGGCTTATTTAGAATAAGGTAAATAATTAGATTACTGATGGCCATGTAAACGTAGTCACTACTGTTGGGTGTTCTTGTGGATGCACGTTCACGACAGTTACTACGTTTACATGGACATCAGTAATCTAATATATGTATATCTAATCTAATATAGATATACATATTAATGTATAATTTCATACATCACTGAACGATTGTCCTGTTCAGCAAATTTAAGTGTACATTTCAGCATCTTGGATTTATATTTATGCACAGAGCACATCACAAATAATCACTATTCCAGTCTCAGAATCTTGTACCTCAGAAGGAAGGAAAGAAACTGAGGGAGTGTTCCACTAATAAGGGAAAAACTCTTGGTTTTCATTGTATTGCCATTTTATATCTCGGGGGACACAGCCCAAAGAACACACTCCTCACTATTAAAGTTCACCAAGGCAAGAAAAATAAATTTACAGGCCTGCATTACAACATTGGAGGAGCACTCCTTACAATGCGTAAAAGAAAAGACATAACCCATATGTATGAAGAGGCAAGACAGAACTATTGACATGAAAACAAAGCCATAAAAAAAGTTTATCATCCAAATAGCTTCTCTTTGAAATTTTCCTTAAAAAAAATTATCTTCAAATACAAAAATAAATCTCAACATTTAAACAGAGCATAACCTAACTTACAAGATAAAGCAGCATTTTGGAAGGGAAAAAAGGACATTTTGAGGGAATATGAGGTCTTGGTTTCTGAATTCAGTCTCGTCTCGCTGGACACAAACTTGCTTGAAACAATGAGTGCATTTACAACGCTCTTCGATACAGCACATTTTTTTGTAGTTCTATCAAAACGACTTCGCTGCTGGTTTCAGCAGGTTCCTCAGGATTTCCTTAAATCGATATTCAAGAAAAATGCAGCAAGAACTTTGCAAAAACAGTTTTTTATGTACAAAATTCCTCCTTTTGCAGCAGACGGTTCAAAAGCAGTCAACAAAATCTTTGAAGAATTTTACAAAAACATTAAATCAAATTATGGTGCTGTAACATCGTAGTTGTTTCATTCTGGCTTTGCAGAACATTTTAGAAAATAAAGTTGCAGAAAAATATTTCTCAAAGTGTGTTGGAGTGTGTGTGCATGTATGTGAGTCTTTGTGTTAAAAAAGCTTACTTCGCTTTCTGTGAACTTTTATGACATCTTGCAGTTATAGCTTTCTCCATCCAAGTCTTTCACTTACTTTCATTATCGGTTGGTCTTCTCCAAGAAAAAAAAGTTGCAAAACTGTCTGCTTTCTTTCATTGGAAAGAGACACACTTCTCTGTTCCTTTTCACAATGTCCATTTGTTTTTATGTCAAGAGAGGTGGTTCAGTATCCAAAGTCCTCCATCACTTCTATGAATGCACTAAAATAAGAGAGAGAAAGATATTAGAGTGAGAAAAGAAGCTTATAAAACAACTTGAGTTACTCATCCATCTAGTCCAGAAGAATTGATTTTATAATTTCTTGGATACAGTAGATATGCCAATACAACATCATGAAAAAATTATCTTGTGGATAAATTTTGTTTTCACTCTCTTTCCATTACAGACCACAACATTTCCAAAGCAACAGGAAGTAGCCCACCTCCTCTTCACTTGCCATGCTGGTAGGAGTATGTTGTGTGGTCTGTGGGTGTCTCTATGGCAACCTGCTGCTGTTGGACGCTATTTTCCTGCAGTGGCATGAGGTCAACATTACTGACAATACATCACAGTGAATCAGGCTTTGAAACACTTGGAATAATTCAGCATGCAGGGATTTCATACCTCGGCTGTAATGCTTGAAGGAGGCACTTGGGCGTATTGTGGTATGTAGGTCCCTTGCATAGCTGTGTTTGCAGGCATATACTGAGGACAGATGGACACACGTTGACAAATGTGTGATATCCACAGATAGTACACATTAAAGGAATATTTTAGGTGGATGAACTTCTTGCGCATATGGTTATGTATAATTCTTGTAATTCCGAACATTGCTGTAACGCAACATTTCTAGGGCTGCACGGTATTGGGAAAAAACTGACAATGGGATATTTCGCTTTTCTGTGATATATTGCACTATGAAAAAATATATTTTGGAATGAATTATTCTATAAAGATTGGGATAATAAAAATAAAAGGTAGAAAATAAAAATAATTTAAAAGCTGAAAAATTTATTTTTAATTTGAGACAGAATTTTTTGAGTGTGAATCATCCTTTTGGGGCTGAACAATTTTGGGAAAACTTGAAAAATTTAATGAATTTAATATAGTGAATTTTGTGAAGAAAAAAAAATATTCTCGCTTCTCTGGAATTTTATAGGCCCTATTACCAATGTTTTTGACCCATTCAATATGACCATAAAATATATATATTTTTTAAAAAATCTATAAAATGATTTTTATTGTGATTATTATTTAAAATATTCAAAAATATATTGCAATAATACTGTTGTACTATAAAATAAATTGAATATTTAATAAAAGTAATAAAAATATTTTTATAGTACACTGTAAAATTACAATACTATAATTATGTGTCAATTTCTTCATTTTCAAATCTTAATCTGTCAAACTTTTATATATGCGCTGCATATTTTGCGATATCGATTTTATATTGTTATATCGTGCAGCCCTAAAACGAACACAAATATTAATAACTGAAACTAAACTAAAATAAATTTTCATGACACCAAGACCACCTCAAATAAAATACAATTGCCCACAAGTTTTTGGTACATGGTAATACTATAAAACCTGTCATGAGAAATTTAACGCAGTTAAATATTTTAAATGATAATAGTTAGCATATTAACTCTGGTAGCCCTGAAATACTGAAACTAAAATAAAAATGAAATAATGTGAAACTACAAAAACTCTGAAAACTAAAACTAAAAAATTAACAATGAAAACCAAAACTTAATTGAAAAGACAAATAGAAAATAAAAATATAAACTTCTTTACTGCCAGTCATAAAAAATTAGACCAATACAATTTTTTTTTTTTTCAAGACATTTGTAATGAATTCTCTGTGGGCATCTGTGGGGGACGTACCGTGCCTGTGCTGCCCAGGGTTAGATGGCTGAGCTGCTGTGTGAGAGGCCCTATTATGGCAGTGGGCTGGATGGTCATGGTGTGGTCCACTGTGGGCGTGAGGACTGTACCCTGTGCCCAGCAGAGAAAGAAAGTTAGACAGGCAGAGGTGCTTTAGGAAATAGAGCAGCGGTTTAACTGCAACTTACTGTGGGCTGCATGAGGTAAGACTGGTGATGTATCCAGGAGGGATTGTGTACCTGATATTAAAAGGAGACACATTTTAATCTTAGATTTGGGTCATTATTCTGTATAATTCAGATCTATAACAATTTAGACCTAATAAGCTAGGGAGTATGTGAAGACTTTTCTGTAACCAACTCAAATTCCTCATATATAATGATTGTAGATCTTCAAAAGACTTGAAATATAGAGCATGAGTCATGAACAGTAATATGGCTCTTGCAAAACAAATGGCTTCTCCATACCTGGTAGGTGGATACAGGTGAGTGCATGTAGGGAGAGATAGAAGTCTGAGCAATAATTCTGTTAGGAGCAATGCTGTAGGAGGGAGAGTAAAACCTGCAGGGGGCGACAAATGCATTTTTCTAAAAAAAGAGCTGTTACCATGCAGTGTCATAATTAAAAGCACAAATTACAACATTTATTGTAAGTAATAATTTCTGAACCCACCCATTTTGTAAAGCGGGAGTAGGGTCATATGTTAGCGTCATCCCGCCCTGTATGTGTGTGAGAATGAGAGAGAGACAGTTGAATTCAGACGTGGACTAGAGAATGATTGAAATCAATGTGAAAAAAGCAGTTTTCTCACAGTCTCGCCCTCTCTCGGCCACTGCCGCCCATTCTGGTGATATTTCCCCTGATTCTGACGTTTCTTCTGTCCCCCATCCGCAAATTTACACAGCAAGGGTTCTGTAGGCACTTAATGAAAACATATCACTCATTATTTACCTGTCATGACCATCTCATCAGTACAAAACTCGATATGAAAAACAACCCAAATGTAGTACCTGCTACTCCAGGAGGAGTCTTGATGTATTTGCCATTGAAATGTTGAATGATGGCCTCACATTTTTCAGTCGATTCCATCCTAACATAGAGTAATTGCAAATGCATTAACGGAATATTAATGATGATAATGTCATGTGACACGTATGAGAGTTGGTCAGGCGCACCTGGCAAAACCAACTCCACGACTGGTGCCGTTTGCGTCACGTAAGATGCGTG